ACTGCCTTAAAGGTTTAGGCCTCTTGAGGCAAAGGCTAAGGGAGTAAACCCCGACAGAAAATCCGGTGTGGAGCCCCGCAGGCAGACCAGCAGTTATGGCTGGATTCTGGCAGTTCCTGCAGCTGATGTCGTACCAGGACTATAGCACCTTGTGCTTCTCCTGGTTCCCTTCTGAAGCCGAGAGGAGAGTCTTGATGCTTGGGCAACTCTTGTGCAACCAACCTGGATGCATCCAAGATCAAAGCACTGGCACTTGCTTGACTACATCATCACCAGACACCAGGACCTCTGTGAAATTCTTGACACTAGAGCACTGAGAGGTGCGGACTGCTGGACAGACCACGTCCTCCTACCGCTTTCTCATTAAGCGTGTCATCTTCGACCTTTCGAAGGACTACCATGACCACTAAAGCCAACACCCCCGCAGCTCCGAGAGTGGGGGCGGCGTGGGATGTGATCGAATATGGAGGGACGGGGAATGGAATGAGAACGAAGTCAAAAGTGGAAACGACGGGGTACAAGGGAGGTATTTTGGGAGTAGGGGAGAACAAAAGATCAAGATGAAGGAGTAAGTGAGACAGGAAAAGGGCAAAGTGTAAGAAAATCCAGACTGAGGAAGGATCGGGCGGGAGGGAAGGTGGTGGGGGGGGGGGAAATCAGCCATATCACTTGCAGCTGTTGCATGGTTCCCAGAATGCACTGCAACTTGGCACACGGCTCTTTTAATAAGAGAGGGCGGTGTCATGGTTACGTTCGTGTCGAAACCTCCACTATGGCAGCGGCGGCTTCCAAGAGAGGGAGCGGAGGGCTGGGGTGGGGAGGGGGGGGAGGTTTGAAGATGACGGGGATGATAATGACAAATCGAGCCACGTAATCAGAAACAGAGCTGTTGTATCGCCATAAATTCCGTTTGAAATTCACACCCGACGAACTCGCAGTACCTTCAGACGACAGCAACCGAGGACAGACAGAAACCTGTAAACCGACAACAACAAAAAATGGAGTTAGCTCTGTCTCGCTCTCAGTGGCTCAACAAGAAAACGGATCACTGCAGCCACGCGGAGATTGCGGAGTACTCTACTACCTTCGCGCGTACGGGGCCAAAGTCACAGCGACAGGCTAAGCCAACATGCGAGCGTGTGTTTATTTTTGTCATTTCGCGGCTTGCGTAATCTGCTCCACCACAGCGGCGGTTTACGTCACCCATTTGTCGAGAAGGTAGTGTGTCGTGGACTGTGGTCTCATTTACACACAGAAAAGCTTTTCATTTTCTTTTTATAATAATAATAATAATAACAACAATACATTTAATTTTGAAAGTGCTTTTTATCATACTCAAAGACATTTTACAAGAGTTTAAAACACTTTTTAGCGCTTTTCAGGATAGCTATCTATCTATCAGGGTACATAAATACTGTATTGGCTCGAATATAAGACGGTGTTTTTTGCATCGAAATAAGACTGAAAAAGTGGGGGTCGTCTTATATTCGGGGTCTAGACATTATACCCATTCACGACGCTAGATGGCGCCAGATATCATTGAAGCGAATGCTGAACTTGACTCCCCAGGCCAAAGTGAACCCCTGTCACGAAGAATAAAAATAAAAATAGCGGTAGCACGAAGAAGAAAAATAAAAAATAGCGGCAAGAAAGAAAGAAGCGATAACAGAAAATGGAGAAACGTAGCAACAATCTGCAGAAAAGTGGGTCGAAGATCGGGCAGGTTAACCAGCAGCTGAGGAGAAGTTATGGTGTAAACTTCAAGATGCTTTTTCTCTCAAATATATTGTTATAATCATTTGTTTCAGATAATTATTTTCTGTATAAAAATTAATTTGATGTTCAAAAAGTATTTTTTCAAACTTGAGTCTTGAAAAAGAGGGGGTCGTCTTATAATCAGGGCCGTCATATATTCGGGCCAATACGGTATATGTGTATGGCTTTACCGGTTCTAAGTTTGAAAACAAAATTTAAAAAAAAACAAAACGTGTCAACCCTGAATGGAAAGTGTCTGTCATTGTGCCTCTCCCAGCGCCTCAATTTGCATATTTTATGTTGGCAAAAACCAAAGAAAACAAACTCCACAGCTCTGACAGTGTGTTTGAAAGTGAGAGTAGCAGGGCATGCTGAGGTAGATTAATAACAGCGCTCACAGGGTGTTGGAAGAAGTGGGGTAATGGTGGGGGGTGGCGGGGGGGGGTCTGTTGGAGTTGGGGTGTGCTTCTGCCTTTTCAGGGCTGACTGATGTGCATCCCAAATTGATTTATGAAAACGGCCCTTAATCAGTTAAGTGTGGAGAATGAGGGAGAAAGAGCACATCTCAGTAGGGGTGGGTGGGGGTTGGAGGGGTCGGGGGCTGAAATCGCAGCGGGAAAGTGTGTGAATGACGCTCTTTTTTTTTTTTTTGGAATGCATGTGACGGATGCCAGAGCGGGCCACAGGTGTCCGACACGCTGGATGCCGCATTTTGTCCCGGGGTAAGAACACTCTTAAACGTTCAATGGGGCTGATCCGAGCATCCATCACGGATTGCGAGTGTTGTGTGTAAAGAAGGGTCGCGGCGAGTGGGGGGCTGGGGGTGGGCTTCACAAAGTAGGCTACCCAGGCTACTCCGTTGTATCATCTTCAAAAGTGACAATAAAATCCTTGGAAAGATTTCTCCTCATGAAAAAGGTCTCGAGATTCAAAAAAAATCAGAAGATGGACTCAAAAAGTTGGCGGATCCTGAATATAAATGATCCCCAAAAAGAAATAAATAAAAATAAACATTTTTCAAGAGGCTACTTTTTGATCGACTTAAAAAGTGACTGTATAAAGTTGGAGGTGAAGGTAAAAAACTTTTTTTTTAATCCATGCATGGGGACAAGAGTAGTTGTTTAAAAAAAAAAAAAAAAAACGTCCCCGACTCGGCCCATTGTGTCTGAGACAGGCGTGTGTGTGTGTGTGTGTGTGTGTGTGTGTGTGTGTGGCGAGATCATTGGGGGGGGGGGGGGGTAGAGGTGAGGGGGTTCACGCTGAGAGATTGTTTCTCCTGGCTGTCAGAACTCGATCTGGGATCCAGCCGGAACTAATCAACTCCAAAAGGCCTCCCCATTACCCAGGATGCAATGGGCCACAAACCGGGGGCTTGGCCAGTGGGAAACAGATACTACGCCCCTCCCCGACATCAAAATGCTTTTCCTACACACACACACACACACACACACACACACACACACACACACACACACACACACACACACACACACACACTTCCCGCTGTTTCACACCAAAGCAATAATAAACAATTACGATAATATTTTCACAGCAAGCAATGGGCCCGCTTCAGATCCGAACGTTGCACAGCTGCAGAAGACACGCCTGCGCACACGTGCACAAATATCAAAGTGTGCAAAAACGCGCTCGCACGACACACGCACACACTTGAAAACATTCCATTCAAAGGCCAACCTTGAGTCAGTTCAAGAATGTTTTTTTCTTTTTTAAACGTATCGTGTGTAAACGTAACTAATCATAAAAAAACGATATCACTGTTTCTTTTTGTGCCTTAAATCAGATTAGAAAGCCCTAAATTAGCTCCAAGAGGCCTCAAAAAAGGCGGGTTCGTTGCAGTAATGTCGCCCTCTAGCGGCAGAACGCTCAGGTCGAACCCATTTTTTGTCCTATTATTCAATTAGTGCATTAAATTTGAACGTAAGCTTTGAGAGCCGGCTTATTTTTTACATGTGAACATTCACGAAATGTTTTATTAATCTCTGCAGTTTAATGAAAAAAAAAATCAATGAAGTGGCATCGTTTCTGGCATACGTTTAAGAGCTCAGCTGACAATATACCTTCTTGTGGTACTTACTGTTCATATAATATTGCAAGCGTTAAAGATAACAGGATCGGTAGATGGTTGGCAGATTTTTTTCAATTGCTGCCATGACCCGAATGAAAAATAAAACCAAATATGAATGCGATTATGACAAAAGCATGTCAGAGTAGTGTCAAAACCAATCCGAAAATGGAATCGTGTTAACAAAAAGGCTCGCGCAATGTGTGCTTTGAATCTCGGTGACGAATGACTTGCACCTCCTTCACAGGGGTGAAGTGGGGGCAACATGGAAATGAATCGATGAAAGCTACCCTCCGTCACCCCCGCGTATCATTGCAACCGTGAGCCCGAACGAGTTTTAAATCCAAGTGATTCGGCAACCATTGTAGGTATTCAAATCTTACTTCATCATGACACGTGTGTTTATCTGTAAATAGAATGCTATGTAAAAATAAAATTTGTTTTATGGTCAATTGCATGAGAAAAGTCCAGAGTCCCTGAAGTGATTGGGTGGGGGGGGG